TATGAATTGGGTTCCGTCCGTCCATTTTTCCTTCCGTCACATTATATAATACATGTTTATGAACCGATTTTTCTCAAACTTTGTTTGTAGTTGATACACGATAGTATACATAAGCCCTAGATTTCTGTTCAGATACCGTAATGACCCACTGGCAGCCATATTTAACATAATATGTGTAGATCATTATATCCAATATGTGCTGGCTGATTCATTTCAAACTTAGAATATGGGTGATATATGTCGGCATACTGAGGCACGTTTTTTGCACAATAATTTTGAATTGCGATGTACGTTTCACATTTTGCTTACATAGTAGACATTTAGAGACTCACAGATGTTAAATTGTCTGGCAGTCCAAGTCATTAGTGTCAGCATAGAACTAATATATGCACTTGATCACAAAGGAACATATAAATGCTGACATTTCATTTTTCATGCAAAGAACAAAGGGGGCTGTAACATTCTCAGCGGCTTGTTTACATAAAAATTTGAATTTACTGGTTAAGAATGATTTGGGCGTGCAGTACGTCATTTTGTGATCAGCGATTCAAAGATGGGATTGTTACAAAATAATTGTAAGGATTTGTTGTCAACTTGCACACACCCGACATGTGTTTTATTTGTTGTGTGGCATCTCAACCCGCCAAACAGATAACTAACGGTAAATACTTTTATAGTCTTCTATTCTCTCCATTGTTAAATTCACTGTTCCCCTGACCTATGTAATGAAGGTATTTGGAACAGTGAACCCGATGACGAATCGGTATACATGTATCGTTCAAATCTTGGCTCCATAGATACCCCAGCTTCCTCCGCCTGTTTTCTGTAGCGAAGGAGAGAGACACACTGAGCAAGCCAGCGTACTCCTTAGACTTGCATTCTACAAAACGTAGATGCATTTATATTTTCCGATACACATGTACATAAATGAACAAGACTGTGTCGGCTGTGATAGCTCCGCTGTTAGCAATGCACATTGCAATTAAAGAACAGAAGATATCATTAGAAATATGTATCAAAGCAATCGGACTTGCTGTTTTCAACCAGAATTCAAAAATATGACTTTTCACCAAAAATGACAAAAATATTCACCAAAATTAGAGAATTGAAGATATCAACATGAAATTAACAAACCTAAGAGAGGTCTACCCAAGGTACATATACACCAAGTATCAAAGCATTCAGGCTTGTAGTTTTCAAGAAGAAGTCGAAAAAGTAAAACATTGACACGGACGACGACGACGACGGACAATCACTCATATGATAAGCTCCGCTCGACAAAGTCGACAGCGGAGCTAATAAAAAGTACTAAATAACAGCGAGAAACGTTGACAAAGACACTGATGTTTCGCTAGCTTCACCCTAGTCTGGTCTAACACTAATTACATGCATAACGTTCGCTGATTGTGTCCATCCCAATCCTGATCTTCATGCCATTGCCTCATCTGTTGATGGTTCAGAAGACTCCTGCCAATGTTTTCAGGCCCACTTCGTTTATTCCACCTTAGAACGAGGATATGCACTTTGCATGGATTTACCGCAGACATGCAAAACTACAATGCAGCTTCACTCTCAACACTTTCCACAAAAGAGCACACATTTGAGAACAGCGTCATCCACCGGGGGATTTTAGTCGTGTATGACGGATGAACAGCATATGATGAGTGTACATAATATTATGTTTAATACTAACTTGTTCCCTCCATAGCATGAATGCAAAAGGGGCATAACAAATATGCGAACATAGAAGATTCACTCGAAAATTAGCCCCCATAGTTGCAGCCTGACTATTATTTCAAAACTATCACACCCGTTTATCTAAACATACTTCAATGCAAACAGATGCTCAAAATAAAGTGAATGTATTTTGACCATAGACATTACATAGTATTTGCACTAATAAAGCAAATATGCATACACCACAACCCAAAACACATCAGAACAAAGATTACAAAAAACAAATGCCCCAAAAACTTTTTTTTTTTCTTGAAAAAAAACAACTTTTTATTCTGTTTACATTAACCTCAACCTGTCCCACCAACCAATGTAAATGAGTACAATAATAAAACAAATATTGTAGCATACAATATTTCTGCAGAAAAGATAATTGTTATTCTAACATACTGTAGAATATTTTATTTTAGCTGTATTTAATTTTTACTGAAAACCATGTTTTGTATGGAATTTATTTTTACTGATTTTTGACAAGTTGAATGTAAAACAGGAAAAAAATGAATATTCGCTGGATTTTATTTTCACTGATTCATCCCGCCGGGCAAAAATTATATTCCAAGTAATTAAAGTATTCTACAGTAATTCAGTTTTGCTAATATACTATATACCGGTAATTAGTTGTGAATCCAGGGCAGTGGTTGCCCTGACCATGATTATTCAAATTTAACAAAATAATAAACAACAAATTTGCCCTGTGTGTATCTAAATGGTTACCCCTAGAATGGAACCATTATCGACAACAACATCGCTGTAACCTCTGCCCTTCAACTGCATATCTTTTCATTTATTTATTCTACCAGTAAAAATGAAACTTGAGTAAAAATATATCATTCTACAGTAAATTATAAAAGAAATACATTAACAGACAATTATCTACAAAACGCATGGTTACACAGTACAGTATGAGTATTATTTGGATGTTTGAAACTAGTTTTCAAAATAGCACAAATACATAGAAATAACAACTGACAATAGAGAATGTTAAAACATACAGCTGGGTATAAAATGCTATGTAGCTGACAGAAAAGTCACAACACTATCTTGGCATGCACACAATAGACTGAAAGGGATGGATGTATTGTTTGAAAAAAAACATTTAAGTATTTATGTCCAGTGCTCCGAGCACAGTGCACATAAAGTTAATTTGCATATCACATGATGGTTAATTTGCATATGAATATCATAATTGTGTTTCAATAACATAACCAGCATCTCAATACCAATTCTTGAAAACTAACAGCATGACAACATCACTATAATTAAAATCTAACACTACTACATAAAGACATGCAAGGAATGCAAAGAATGGAAACACAAAACAGATACCTCTTTTGAATGAACAATCTCTTGTTTTTTTCATCTGCTAAAAATTTTAAGAATTTTAAGCCAAATTGAAGAATATAAATCATGTTCGTCCTAATTTCATTATTATCAAAAATGAAGAGAACCACAATTACAGTCACTGGACAACTTTTTAGGATGTTTGATTTCGAAATTGAATAGAAAACTGTGAAAATGTTCATTTTCACATTGGTTTCTATGGAGAGATTTATTTCTTTTTATCTCAATATTTTCCTTGAGAATGAAAAAGTTGTATATTATTAATATGAATACACGTACTAATATTGTTAAAAATTTGTTTGAAAAGTTGACATACAATTTAGTGAGTTTCTAGTATGTTAAATATTTTTCAGTTATATACAAATCAAAGTTATCTCCCATAATGCATTGCGTATATGTGCAGCAATAAAAACACAGGAATGCAAAATTTGAATTTAGCTCCGACTTTGAGGATGTGAAACAGTGAAATCCATTTTCAAATGAGTCAAATATCTGTTTATAAGTACCAATGATTTTATGCATACTGGAATATAAAAATTCACAAAACATGAAACACAAAAAGTTGAGGCTTAAGCAATTTGTTTTAAGTCAATTTTTTCTGTACATTTTATGCTGTGTAACTGTGAGCCTAAATGACCTTTCTTGTACCAAACAAACATGGATGGAATCAAGTATTAAGATGCTCGTGACATGCATATGCAAACAGAACTTGTACAACCTACTAAATGGCTACTGTAAATACTTTATTTTATTATTTTAGCTGGAATAAATTTGTCACTGTTTTGTATGAAGTTTATTTTCACTGACTTTTGATGAGTTGAATGTAAAATATAGGAAAAAAGGTATATTTACTGGATTATATTTTCACTGATTTATCCTTCCAGTGAAAATATTGAAAATAAATTAATTTACAGTAATTGCTTGATAAAAAGTTTGTTTTCCAGCTATTTGCATGCTATTAATAAACAAATATGCCATATCACAAGTTCATGCCACATATAACAAGTGTTTATTCATTTGGAACCACAGTTTTGGCTTGGTATTATGTAAATTAAATAATACGAAAAAAATGGTAAAACTTGCAGCCTCTGCCCCTTTGAAGTTGTATTGACAAAATAAGTGCCATCTACTCCTGGCTATTATTTATACCATGCAATGTTGAAATGAGTAATTAACTGCAGAATAGCAAGCCACTTAAATTAAGACTTGTAAACAATGAACACAGAGTTAGGAGGCTTTGTTTTGCCCTTGAAGGCCAGTTACATTGTAGGTTTGTTTGTTTGTCTGTAAGGGGTAAGTACCTCCAGTACTCTCAGAATGAAATGGACAAAAAGAAAAGCAGGGCATCTACAGTTAATATTTCATATTTTACATTGCATTTTATATTTTCATCTGTTCTGAGAATGATGGTTCACATATTTACAAAGCGGGAATGCAACTTTAACCCTTTGAGTGTCATTTGTCTCATCAAAGCCAGATTTTATGTATTTTTCCATATATTTTTTGATAATTTTGGATCAAGTAGACATAAAATTTCAAAATGATCAACATTTTGGAAAAATTATTAAAAAAATTATGTGTGTTACAAATTTGCGAATGGGGACAAAAGTTAACTTGAAGGATTAAAGAAGACCTCACTCTCTGATAGTTGCATTTCATTATTTATAACCATCATAGTCATAAGAAGAAGAAGCGTTCATCAGTAAAACTACAATGACTATGATGAGGACCACGCCAAGTATGAAACCTGCAATGGAGAGACCAATTGAGACCTTGCTTAACTTATTGGCCGTGTCATGTTTACCATCAGCCCGAAATCCAAATGCCTGAAACAAGAAAAAAGTCGGAAAATATTTAAGACAGGGATTGCACTAAAGAATGTGGCTTAATAAGCTAATTTTTAAATGTACAAGGCGATAGTTTCTTTGAATTGAAATAAAAACAAAACTCAACTGGAAAACCAAGTGATGCCCATCTTAGTGAAATCCACAATGTGTTCATACGTAAAACATTCATGTCACATGTTATATCACATGTCTTAAAACACTATTGAACATACAAGTAGCATCTAATGAAGTGATTTTGTAAAATTTTCTGGAATCTAATCTAACATTTTAGTTTTAATCACAATTTAGCTGTGACTCTTAGAGTTATGCCTGTTATTCAAGTGCGGAAGTACTGATTTTGAAAAGAAGATTTTGAATAACAATGACAGTGAAAGATGTTTTAACTAATGGTATGGCTGTAATATAGCCATATGTATTATACAATACGTAATATACAGTCTCAAATTTAAATAAGATTGTAATTTTTGACTCCCATGTGCGAAGCACAAAATGGGAGTCTTTGCAGTTAGTGTGTCTGTGTGTGTGTGTATGTGTGTATGTGTGTCCGACTGTTCCACTGCTATCTCAAGAACCATACATCGGTTTTTAATGAAACTTGGTGCATAGATGCTCTGGGCCAATGCGCAGATTTGATTAGGTTTTGGTAAAAATCCATGCTCGTTAATTACCTAATTTACATGATAATTAGCTAATTTTTAGCTGTTCTATGACTGTTCCACTGATATCTAAAGAACCACTCATTGGATTTTGATGAAACTTGGTACATAGATGCTCTGAACATATGCGCAGATTTGATTAGTTTTTGGTAAA